GCTGGGATTACAGGCCTGAGCCATCATGCCTAGCCTGATGTGGACACTTTTGATAGGGTCTTGTAAGCCTCCCTAGAATTGCTCCATGTTCAGTTAGTAGCTGTTGAATCAGAAATGTTCCTCTGTCCCACTGCTTGGCAGGATAAACAAGCCCTTGCAGATCAGAAGAAGGCCAAATTCCACCAGACTGAAGGGGACCACCTCACCCTGCTAGCTGTGTACAACTCCTGGAAGAACAACAAGTTCTCCAACCCATGGTGCTATGAGAACTTTATCCAGGCTCGTTCCCTGCGCCGGGCCCAGGACATTCGCAAGCAGATGTTAGGCATAATGGACAGGTAAGCCAGAATCTGATGACACTCCATGTTTGAGTTGAACCACTTTGAGTATCGTGTCCATTCATCTCTGTGTGTACCTGTAAAGCTATAGGCACGTTTTCTCTTGGTCCTCACATAACCCTTTTCCTCCAGCTTTTCCATCTTTGTTATATTCCTTCTCCCCAAGCAAGGGTATGGCTGAGAATTACCTCAGAAAGTTCCTAAGAGGAAGATTATTTGTTAGTTGTTGAAAAAATGCTTTTTGTTTGCAACCCTCTGGAACATTATTACTGTGGAATTGAATACCTGTGTAAACAAAGTACCCGTCTCTGAGTGCCTCCATCTGCCCACTGTGTAGAACTGCCTCTGTAGTACACTTAGGGTTGGAAGAAAAGTCCTGGTAACTACTCTGGGCACCCCAAGATGGGCGTATTGGGCACTGTCATTGTGGAAAATAGACCTGTGAAAGCCGAGTGGCCTCACATCTTTTGTCCCATCTTGATAGACACAAGCTGGATGTTGTTTCCTGTGGCAAGTCCACAGTCCGAGTGCAGAAGGCCATCTGCAGTGGGTTCTTCCGTAATGCTGCCAAGAAAGACCCGCAGGAGGGTTACCGAACACTGATCGACCAGCAGGTGGTCTATATCCATCCTTCCAGTGCTCTCTTCAACAGACAGCCAGAATGGTAGGTGGACATGTCCCAGGGTCTAGGGGCTTCTCTGGGCAGAGAAAAACCTGTAAATCTCCTGGTATTTTGTGATTGTGTCTTCACTGCTCCCAGTATGTCCTAGTATAACATTGCTTGCCTTTCTAGAGCAGCAGAAACCTGAATTAGGCACAGTGTATCAAACCCTATGAGAGAATTAAAATCATAGGGGTGAGACCTAGTTGAAAAAAAAATTGTGGTTTAAAAAAACTACCTAGTGGCCGGGTACAGTGGCTCACACCTGTAATCCCAGCACTTTGGGAGGCTGAGGTGGGCCGATCAGCTGAGGTCGGGAGTTCGAGACCAGCCTGACCAACATGGAGAAACCGTATCTCTACTAAAAATACAAAATTAGCTAGCTGTGGTGGTGCCTGCCTATAATCCTAGCTACTCGGGAGACTGAGACAGGACAATTCCTTGAACCCGGGAGGCGGAGGCTGCAGTGAGCCATTGCACTCCAGCCTGGGCAATGAGAGCAGAATTCCATCTCAAAAAAAAAAAAAAAAAAA